GAGGGGGGGAACAGGGGAAAACCAACCCAAAGAAATTTTTTTTTTTTTGAAAATAAAGTTTGCTTTATTAAAAGGCCCCCAACTAAGGGGGGGTTAACAATTTTTTTTGGGGGTCTTTTTTTTTTCGCAAATATTTCCTCCATTAAATTCCTTCAACATAATTAAGTTTATCTTCCACAAAAGTCCCTCCTCCTAATTTATTCCAATAAAAAGTAAACTTCATTCAATTTTCCCCTCCATAAAAAAATAATGCGCTTCAAATTTCCTTACTTTAAATATAACACCTATACCATTCACTAATTCAATAAGTAAATCTTAAATTCTCCAAAAATATTCCTTACTTACTTTGCTACCATCAAAAACCATGCATACATGCTCCAAAATGTTTAAAATAAAAAATATAAAAACATAATAGTATTTTTTCCGGACCAAAAAATATACCGAAACTGTCCGACCTGTGGTACTATTCACAGACCGGTAAACTACTATTAACACACAGGAAAAAAAAAATGGGGCTGTACAATGATACCTGTTCTACCTTTGCGATGCCCTAGTTCTTACCTTTCAGCAAATACTGATGGTAATACAGAAATGAACTTTTTTTCAAAATAATGCTGATATGCTTCTCGGGCAAACACAGCAGGTCGAAAAAGAACATCTTTATACTATCGAAAATGGAGATTAGATAGGACACTTTCAGGGTTGATCGAAGTTGTTCATGAGATCTAATCTAAATGCATTTAGCTAGGCGAGTCTAATGAAATGTAATCCTATGGTATAAAGTAACGTTATTTTTTACTGAATCAGATATTGAACTATCGGGTTGGTTGAATTAATTCTCTCCAACTCGAGTTTTCTTGTTTTAATGCATTTTTCTATTTGCTCTTTCGCCTTCTTTCGTTTAGGGAAAAAATCCCACCAAACCTTCTAAGTTGGCCTCCAAAGCCCTGCTACTATGGCTTTCATTACTAGCTTCTTTGGTCAGAATTGCCTTTTCAACCGCCGGCGTGGCATACATAGTCATGTAATTGCAAGGACATTCTTTATCTGATATTCAGGTATTTAGTCCGTCAATAATTCCATTCAACGTATAGAGGTTCGCATCACTGAACATAATTACATGTATCTGGCTTCAGTATTGCATATTCACAGGAGATGGCGCTTGGGTAGTTAAGGTTTGACTTCTACTATTCCTCTAGGTTCTTGGATAGGAGATTTTATTTAATAGTAGAAGGCTTCGCTTTTGAAAACATTTTTGTTCTAACTGGATTAAGTGCTCCTGTTCTGTTAGCACTTTCTGTGTCAGATGACTGCTTTGATTTGAGTGTCTGTTTTTTATTGTAAGAGGAGGCTATATGATTTCTGTTTCTTTGTTCTAGCATCTACTTAGCTAACCTGCTTAGGTGAATTTTCTTCTAGCTAAAAATCACTATTATCATTTTTGGATAGGTTTTGAATTTCAAAAGGGTGGCTCCGCGCATAGGTTTTAAAGAGATTTATCTTTGCATGACTGGCTATTTTGGATGAGATTTCTTTAGGTCATAGTACGCTATAGCTTTCAGTTGACTAAGCCTGTTCCTTCTATTGCGCGTCAAGTTGCTCTCCAACAGTTTGGCCAGATGGTAAATTCGTAAAATTTTGTTAGCCGAGAAAAACGTAGATGAAAACCATTGACTCTCTCCCCGGGGGAAAAATGGCGAACATTCAATGGAAGAATGTTCAGAGGATAGGAGGACGCCGGCTGTAACGGGGGGTATACTTTGCAGCTGACGGCGATGAGAAGTATGGAAGGTTTTTTATAGGCAGAATTGAGGCCAGCAAGAAAAATGTTCATTGGTGAAAGTGGGAAAAGGTTTTGCGCTGTAGTTTAAACATGTGTTGCAAAAGTCTAAAGGTCTTTAGTACCGTTCGAGAGTTTTTGTTATAGTGTTATTTTTTAGGCCAATCAGGCTTGGTTCTGTGTTACTTAAATGGATACGGAAACCACTTTATCAAAAGGAGAATATGTCATGATGCGAGAACCATTTTTTAATTGGGTGAGATTTAAATAGCTTTCTTTATCATAGCCGCATGTCAGGATGGTGGTTGGGCTTTTGATCTCATCAACGTGGGGCTGAACTATATTCTTCTTCCAGTTCTATTGAGCCCATTTATGGAATTGGACCATACGAAGTGGTTCAATGGAAGAGGCTAGATGCCTCTAGGCTGGTATTGGGTAAGATTCTGTGCGGCCTTGGGAGCCGCAGGCTAAGGACGCTTCGTGGAGGCCTAATCTCACTGTTCTATTTTCTTGAGAATCGTAAGGCTACTGATCCTTTTTAGGTAATCTCTTCTAGCTGAATCTAGTTCATCGAGATTCAGGTTTTTTGGGGTTGAGATTAACATCTTCTAGTAGCTAGTTTTCAGGTAGTCTTTGACCTGATGCCCATTGGATGGCTTTGCGGTAAGCTACTAAAGTTGCCTTTAGATTAAATTTGTAACAAATAGTTCTTTGTCATTCTTTAGGCATTATCATTTAGTAAGTAATCTTCGCCGTGAAATTAAGGCAGGACACGTAATGTCATGGCTTTATAATGGTATTGCGGTAAATTAAAATGATATTTTTCAGATATGGTAAACGATATCAATAACCAGAACTTTGAATGTCAAGAGATAAAGCTTTATTAAAATGCGGATCACTAAGAGACAAGTAAAATTGGATTAACAAGAAAAGTAGATAGGTTCATCACGCTTTCCACTAGGCGAGAATGGCGTCAGCATCTGGCGAGAATTGACTCCAAAAGCATACGGTAAGAATTGATTTTCCTTTAGATACGGCGCTCTCTGTCTAGTTTTATTCACTCTCCTCTCTCTCTCTCTCTCTTCTCTCTCTCTCTCTCTTCATTAATGTGTGAAATAGAGAAATTTTATATTTATGAAAAAATTAATGTTTTTTGTTTTGTGAAAGAAAGTTCTTAAATCAGAACAAATTCGATAACATATTTTTTTCAAATTTTTAATGATTATATAATTTCAGATTTTAATTATTTATTCAAAATGAATTATAGCAACCTCAATAATTGAATATTTAAATAGATTCTTTTAAAAGTTAATTAAAATATTTATAACAATTAGAAATTTTAAAGCTTAATTAATAAACTTGATTTTATGTATGCATATATTTAATATATTGATGCCTTTTTTGGGCAAGAAATTTAGGACCATAAATTATTAATTATAAACTTGATTTATGTATGCATATATTTAATATATTGATCCTTTTGCAAGAATTTAGGAAATAAATTATTTTTTATTTTATTTTTCCATCATTAGCAAGTATAATATATTAAATATTTGGATTCTTAAAAATAATTATTAATTATAATAAAAATAGCATTTTTATATTTAAACATAACATCTGCATGCAAAACGCGGGACGATAACTAGTAAATATATAAAAATTATATAAAAATTGAGTCATAGAAAGTTATGTAGCATCATTTTAGAATATTAAGTTGCTCATGTGGCAACATTAATATATTGAGTTGGAAATAATTTTTATATTTTAATCTAATGGTGAAAAATAATTCTATATCAATACAGAAATTTGTAACTCCATAGCATAGCTTTATCCTTTGATAAATTAGATTTAATTCTATTTAATTTCATAAAATTGAATGTACAGAATAAAAAATGTTCATTTTTTAAAAAATTTCAAACACAAATTTTGATTTAAATAAATTCATTTATTTCAGACAGGGGCCTTAATGCAGTTCCAGGGACTAAATCCAATCCTCCTCTCACTGGCAATACCTTTTAATGAACCGAGACTGAATTTGAAAAATATCTTCTCTCAAAATCTAACATGTTTCACCCACAATTTTCTTCACAAATACATGCCTCTAACCTTGCCCAAGCTATTATATCTTGAGCCATCTACCAATTCTATCTTTTTATTAATTTTTAACATGCTAATATATAAAACCCTGTCCAGAGCATCTTAGTACTTCTTTTAATTTCAGTAAGAGAAACGTCTTAAAAGATCAAACCTCTTGTAACTGAAGTTCATGTGTCCTCGAACGAACAGCTAAACAAAAGAAAAAGGCAAATAATGAGGCACAGATTAACAGTTTCAGCATTGTACATTATTACTCGGAGAATGAACAACAGAAGGGAGACACGGGTATTTTGTTCCATGAGCCTCAGATTGCAGTCAAATTCATATGATCTTTCAGTATATTAAAACACACAACAGGTCACTTAAAGCTCTCACTTGCATTTTGACACAGATAGTCACAGAGTTTACAGTTGAAAAGTATATCCACCAGATGTATTAGTAGCTATCAATATCTGTTTCTGGCCTTCGAAGATAGTATCGCAGAGAGTTCACCAGCACCTAAGGATCGTAAAGAAAATAAAGGATGGAGAATGCGTAAATATTAGAAACAAGCATGCAAAAAGAATCTCAGGCTACATTTGGTGAGGTACAATGGAGATAAAAAATAATCAAATGCATTTTCAATGTAAACAATTACAATAGAAATGTGTTTAATTACATTATATTTCACTGTGGCTCACTACATATAACGTTAATTTATAGTGTAAAGCATCTATCTTTCCAGACAAGAGATGCAAAGTCATTTAATAATTTCTAGAATCAACTTTTCCAAGGTAGCAAAGTATGCAGATAATTTGCAGTATATGTGCAACTAAATGTAACATAATCAAGTGAAGCTTTTAACGGCCAAATAATAGTACTTAAAAATTAGCAATTATTTCAATTTACCAAAAAGCTTTTGGTTTGGCAATCCTATGATGCAAATTTTAGTTTATCGTAATTTTATCACTGATCCAAATTAGGCCTGAACTTGTTGATCTGGAAAGTCTTCACTTTGTTTCTTTTGGCACAAACCATGTGGAAAAAATAAAAATATAGTAAAAATTCATGTCAGCTCATCATTTTAGGTTTAATAACTCAAATAAGTAAAAGAATCAGAGACAAAATTTAGGCCGGCCACTTCCAGCAAATTCAAGTATAATTTCGCTTTGAAATTAGATGGGTGCTAGAATTGAGAAAAAAAAAAAATAGTGCCTCATAGAATTGTCAGAAATAAAACTTTATAACAAAATTACAGAAAACGCTAAAATTGAACATTTTCTTTTTTTGTATTAAGTCATTTTTAGTTTAATGTAATGAACTGAGAATTCATTTGCTCACATTTTATCCAATTGCATTAGTACCAAACAAAGGCAGGTTTCATATGGGTAAAGAATAGTGGTTAGAGATCATCAAACAAATGTAGCTAGCCAGTTACCTGAGACAATGAACTGTTTAATGCTGCCCCTCTGTAGCTGACATGAAATTTGTCTTTGGCTACCAATCCCTGAGTGAAAAGAAGAAGTTAGTGATAAGTGCATGAAAAACAGATGAAAAATACTTGAGGGCATGTGAAGAGTGTGTTTTGAGGTGGAAAGGAGAAACCTCTGTTTCAATCTCTGCCGATTCTACATCGACATTGACATCAGCCATGATTTCAATGATTTCTACAAGTAATCCAGGTCGATCTGCTGTCTCAATGTAAAGCAAGCTGACAAAACAAAAATTTCTTAAAACATAATACATTGGGTAGGAAAATTAAAAAAAGGACATGTAAGCTCTGAATCATAATGTTTAATCATTAATCTCTGAATATGTGGGTACCTCTGCTTAGGTCCATCTTCTTTGAGATGTATATGGGTTGCAAAATCAACATCGAGCTGCCATAGATGAAATAATTATATTTTGTATAAACTCCTATTATATTTGAATTTGGTAATAAATTCTCCCAAACATGTCAGTAGTTAAATAAATAAATATAAGATTCAAAATTAAAATTAAATTAAATTAAATGCCCAATGTCAAGCAATAATTTACAGTTATTGAGAACTTTACAAAACAGCTCATGTCAACTTGATGAAGCATATTTTTATAGAGATAAATTGAATTCAAGTATATTGTGTAAAAAATGTATGATGAAAAGTTTTTCTTCCTTTTACTTTTGACATTAAAAATAATTTTTCCATAAACATGAAATGGATTGTTAATTGATAAGAAGAAAGAAAATGAAAAAAATAAATGTTTAAGACTAGAGTTGAAGAAATCAATACAAAAAAAAATGTACAAAATCCTATTATATTGAGTTAGGTAACAAATTTCCTATTAAAACCTGTTAATTGTTAAATAAAATAAATAAACATTTAAAATTAAAATAAATTAAATGAAGTCCCACACGTTGAGCCATGGTTGACACTTACCTGGAGCTTTACAAAACATAAAGAGTTGACTTATGGTTGACACTTTCTGAGTTTTGGCTTTATTATATATAATAAATAATAATAGATTTGCGAATAGGCACATTGACAAACAAATGATATTTAGCCTGATGATCTGCTAGTAAGCAGAATAAATAAGCTTTTATCAGATCTACATATAAAATATACTTTGATAACCACACTGCATATCAGACATTGAGGAGACCACTTGATAAATAAATCAATATAAAACTTCAGGGAAAATAGCTGCTTGTTGCTAGCTGGATTAAACAGTTTGAGGACATACATTGAAGGAAGGAAATTGAGACCATTCAAATGTTCAATCTCATGACTAAAAGAGCTTCTCAGTTCTATCTCTTCTTTCTGTTCATCATAAGGTAATACCTATTTCTTTGATAACACAGGGAAAAACTATTAATGCGTTCAAACTTGTATCCTTTATCAACCTACAAACAACTACTCAAGGTATGCACTTCAGTTTAGACAAACTGATGCAGGACCAAAAGTCTAGAACTTGTCACATTACTGTAGCATTATTGTTAAACATTTCACTACAGTAACAATTCTCAAATTAAGGTTATTTATGTTTTAATCAAGTTAGACTGTATTTAGAATGGTGAAGTCCTTCGATTTGGATTTACTATTTAGAAATGTATTCTAGTAGAATTTATGCTTTAATCTTCATTTTAGTAGCATTAATAAGACCATAGTTACCTGAAATGTGGTATGACCCGGGTTGTGACATGAAAACGGGTACGAAATACACCAGTTAAATAGAAAGGTGTATGTTTAGGGGTAGACTGAGTTGGTGCGCTATTTTGGTACATGGAACATGAATTGTATTTTTTGGGTCTCTAGCATTTTCATAGCTTAAATTTTACAACTAGTACAATTATTTTAATATTTTTTCTTGAGGAATTTTTCAAATTCAATAAAAAAATAATATCCTAAATCTAAAATTCCAACAAACTAATGCTATTTCGTAATAAACTAGCTGCTAGCATGTTAATAACAATAATAATAATAATCATAGGAAAAAATTGTTTTCCCATAAAATCTAAGTCTAAATTTACAGCTTTTCTTATTGATAAAGTTGCAATAAATACAAAATCCTCTCAAGTTCTAGGTATTTTAACAATTGTATTAGGATGCAATACATATCAAAATAGGATTATGAATTTGGCTGATAAATAGATTATTAAGATATGCCTAAAGCACACAAGACGTTAAACATCATAGAATATACCTATTAAATACAGGTACGCGATACTGAGGAAGGAAAGATGAGAACAATAGATGAAAAAATAAAAAATGCAGATAACTCGAGAATAAGGAAAAATGGAATAACTAAAATGGAAGTACTCAAAGTCAATTGTAAGACAAAAAAGTTAAGAATATACATATACTGAGATGGATATGTGTCACACAATATTGTATAAGATTAGGAATAATCACATCAGGCAAAAGATGCAAGCAGCAGAAGTTGGAGGTAAAATAAGAGAAGATCACTTGAGATGGTATAGTCATATATGACATGGATCCCCATATTGCCCCAGTTCTTAAATGTTATACTTGATAGTGGAGGATGCTAAAGGGGGAAGAGGTCGACCTAGAAGTGCTCGGAGGGAAGTTGTCATGAAAGATATGCAGCTTTTGATATTAGTAAGGATATAACTATGAACTGAAAATAATGGAGACAAAAGATCCATGTAGCAAACCTTAGTTGTTGCTGCCTATTTTATACCTTATTCTTAATGATTTTAAAATTCTCCTTCAAAAGCCTTTTTTCTACAAACAGTATTTCAAATTTTATTTTGACAAACTTTGCGTTGCATTAGTACTAAATTTGATCAGAACAAATTGGAAACAAAGGATTCATATAGCTGACCCCAACTAGTTTCAGACTAAGGCTTAGTCGTTGTTGCTGTGTTGTAATTGAGTCCTCAAACCATTAGAACTGTTTAATGTTTTCCGTAAACCTAATAGTGTTGACAAAAGTTTGATCTTTTATTAGTTAAGTCCTAAATGTAATAAAGTGTTGGGCTTCAATCCTAATACGTTTATTCTTGTTCTAAACAGCTACCATCTCTCAACCTTTTCCCACAAGCTTTCATCATTTAAAGAGGAAAAAAAGAAGACAGAAGTCCTATTCTTCTGTCTTCATCAGTTCTCTAGCTTATCCATTCATGTTTTCAAATGAATTCTAGGCCATCTGATCTCATCAATGATACCTTTGACCATTCCAGTGCCTTCTCTCTTTCTCACTAATCTGGGATATAATGAAATGATTTCCTTTTTATTTATTTTTTGCTTTAGGAATTCAATAGAACTAAATGTTTTAATGGAATACTGGTTTAATTTTCTACTCTAACTCATAATCTAGAATTTATTATTTGTAAATTTTTTTTTTGTTCCATCCTAGTTCCATCCTAACACGTGTTCTTCAGAGAACATCACAGCTCTCCTCTTTAAACCCTAAAAATCCTTATCAAACACTTTTTCACTACGTCCTCATGAGTATCTGTTGAAAGAATATTTCAAATTTCTTTTTTTATTGTGTGTTATATTTTCAATCTCTACATCACTATATATATACACAAGATTGTTCCAATATAGGAAGAGATCTAAATAGGAATAAAAGCTCTCCGTCTTTAAACGCGCTAAAATCGCTTGAATCAAAACACTTTTGTCACTACGTCCTCCATGAGGTATCTGCGTTGAAAAGAAATATGGTGTCAAATTTTCTTTTTTTATTGTGTGTTATAGTTTTTCAATCTCTACGATCACGTATATATATAGCTACAAGAGTTGTGTCGCCAGGATATAGGAAGAGATCTGTAGAAGTAGGATAGAACCGCTAAAGTTAGGGAAAGACAGATGAAGACCTACTATAAGCTAGGAGAAGATCAATATTGGATTATTAATGTACAGAGGCTGTTCGAAAACACGTCCGCCTGCATGAAGGTTGGTGGCATAGAATATTACGTCATGACGGCAACTTGCCACCAGATAGGAGAGACAGTTTGGCTAGGTTTCAAACGCCTTTCGGTGAAAACATGCAGCTAGTGTGCTCTGTTTGAAGGCTTAATGATAGGAGACCTTTGATAAGGCCTGTTCGCTATCTTCTCGTTGTTATGAAGGTGGGGACGAATCAATCTCTATGTGGCTTAGGTTCGGATCATGCTGGAGCTGGGATTATTCATGAATAGCTGATGGCTGCCTTTCTATCAGAGAAACAAGGATGTATTTGTTGTTTCATACCAAAACTTTAGACTCTTTCCCATTGAAATCTGCGCAACCGAATAGGGAGTTTCACGATAGTTCGCTTGTGGCCAGTAGTTCTAAGTATGTCGTGCCTTCTGCGACTGGATCCGCTTGCAAGAACAACAGACAGCCCGTGCTGTGCTTGGGGCTTCTGCCATGTGACGAAGGTTTCTCGCAACGAGGGAAAACACAATATCCTGAGGTTTGGATCTCCGTATCGATGAAAGGAGAACCCACCCGTAATCCGTCAGTCTGTATAGCGCGTGTTGAGGATTTTGTGGTGTGTATGGTAAATTTTAATTGGAAGTGATGGTTTGATTGTCGGTTTTAAGTTATAGGTGTTAGCTTTTTGAGGCTGAGATGGTTGTATGTCGGAGGGTTTGTAAAGGAAGTGTAATTATGAGTGGTTATTTCTAGAGTGTGGCTGGTTGGCTGGTGGGAATGAGTGTGTAATCGTTGGTGGTTAGTGATGTGGGTGGTGGATTTTTGTAAGAGGTTCACTTCGGGGGTTGACGTTAATTTTTGTTAATGGGTGTGATTTGACTATTTTCGATCTGTGTTGTTTTTGGATTTTTGTCAGACCGTGTGATTGGTGGTGCGAATGTGTATTTGCGGATGTAGTGGTGAGGGGTGTGTTAAGTATAGAGGTTCAATAGGATGTGTAAGCTATGAAGCTGGAGGGCTTGGGAAATCGGTAATTAGAGTATGTGTTTGTTTTGGTGCAAAAGTGGCGCGCAATGTTTAGAAAGATAAAAGGTGCCTCTAAGCTAGCCAGGAGCTGATTTTTTTTAAATATCTGTAGAATTCCGAGATGCAAAAACCAAGCTTCTAAGTGTAGACTCCCGAGGGGTCATGATATGGTACCGACGTCACTAAACTTACAGCATTAGGCAATGATCTGGTCCTTAGTGATGTCAAGGTAAATCAACCTCCCGACAATCTCCGTGATAGGCCTGCCAGACATGAAATGAACCTTCCCCACTGCCACGCTTTGGAGAGCTGTATTTGATTGGCTTCAATAGGTGGATTCTTGCGGGTTTATCATCCCGCAACATAGCGCAAGTTGTCTTTAAGGAGTTAGTCAAGGAGTGTACTTTCCTCTTTGAGAAGATAAAAATCCCTGTTTTCTGATACTAGCAACGTTCTATGCGGCAAGGAAAGTATCTCAGAGCTTCCCAAAT